AAAAAAAAAAAAAACAAAAAGCAAAAAAAAAAAAGAGAACAAATGTTTTTTAATTACATATACAGCAGTTATTAAAATTTTATTTTAAGTTCTAAGTTTTCTTTTCAGTTTTTCGGTATTAGCTGAAACGTCTATTGATGGCATATGAGGTTTTTGCCCATGCATATCATCAATAACAACTTCGGTATCTTGACAGACGCAAGTTCCCGGATTACCTGAAATTGATAGATTAAAGAAGCGAACAATCAGAAAGCATTTTAAAAGAAAAAAGCAGTAAACGCTATCGAAAAAATAAAGTAGTGTTTTACCTATTGGACCCATTTCGCCAAGTGGACCCGGACTACCCAAAGGTCCTGGTAAACCTGGTGGACCTGGTGGACCTGGCCAGCCCTTTTCTCCTGGTGGACCAGGGTAACCGTCTTCACCACTGGCTCCCGGATGTCCTGGAGGTCCCCAAGCTCCCATATCTCCAGGATCACCTGGTGGACCAGGAATGACGCGAGCTTGTGGAGTTAAACCTTTCTCACCAGGTGGACCTGGAGGACCAATTGGTCCAGGTTCTCCTGGTGGACCATCTTCACCTTTCAGACCCGGAAGACCATCAGCACCTAAAAAGGGTAAAAAAAAATAAACAGTTGATGACCAGAATGTAAACGGTTTCTCTGTTCTAAGACGCTCACAAGTAAAACTCATTTCCGTACCATAAAAAATGATTTTTTTTTTCAGAAATAAAATTAAAATGTAATTTAAAAACAAGTTTTTTTGACTGCATTTCTGGTCTAATGAAGCAGCAGTCTGTCAAACAGCAGTAAAAATAAATCTTCTTTTTTCAGTGAAAAATTAAATGCCAAAAGCTTTTTTCTTTTGCTAGCACTTTTATGTTTTTATCAACGAAAGCAGTACTATTTTGTAATTTTCAATTACTCAAGACACATACTACTGAAGGTAATTATACTTTTGAAGTAGATTTGTCTAGAGTTCTTGGTCATAGTTAAAAAGTGATGATTATTATGAAAGATTGCTTTGACATTTATAGAAAATAAACTGCCGTACCAGGTCGACCTGGTATTCCTGAGTCTCCTGGGTCACCTGGAAAACCTGGATGTCCCGGTACTCCTCTTGGACCCTGTGGGCATGGCAAACATGGTGGTGGTTCAAAGATTCTTTCTGGTATGCACGAAGCATTTGGTGTCACTCCTGGTCGTCCCTTAGCTCCGTCTGGTCCTGGACTTCCCGGCAATCCTGGCAGTCCGGTCACACCGGGTGGTCCTCTTTCGCCAGGAACACAGCAAGCTAAATTATTGCTCATTTTCATATTTTTATTACTTGTGCTAGCCTACTGAAAAAGAACAGCATTGATAAGATAATTCTTCTTTTTTTAGTTTTATACAAATATTAATTCTGAAATATTTCTGATTACTTTTTGTAACAAAAAAAATCTAATGAATTTGTAAAAATCTGAAAAAATGAACTTACCAGGACATTCCTGGAAGATAGTTGGTCCGCTATTACCATAGAAATGAGATCCATAGGAATTGTACTCGCGTTTAGTTCGGTTACGTCCTCCTACTACTTTAAGACTATTCAGTTGCAGTTCCATTTGCGCAGTTGTAGTCTAGAATGTTCATTCTTAGCCGTAGAAATAAATTACTTTCATAAAACCCTTTATTTGATTACTTTATTTTGGTTTCTCAGAGCCTTAATTTCCTTATTTAACAATTATTACTGTCAGTTTTTAGCCTCAAGTAAACACTGGAATGTATTCTACACTTCACTATCGATAACAAGACTTCGTTTCAACTATCGCTTTGCTTCGGAGTAGCAGAATATATAAAGAAATATTTTGATTTCTTATGATACAACAAAAATAAATGAAATGATATCGTACAGTAAACAAAGAATCCTTACTGAAGTAAACTTAAGTATTAGTTTACAACTTTAAAGTACTTAAAATTGAATACATAAAGAAACAGAAAAATGTATAATGACCACAAATTGCTACAGTGTAGAAGAAAATTCAAAAGTTTTTAGAACCATTGAAGAACTGATCGTTGTTTTTTCTGTATGCTATTTAACGGTATTTAAAATTGCTAAGATTTTTTGAGAAACGATAGATGCTGTTTAACAAAAATTTTTAGTTATAAGTGAAAGAGTGAATAAATCAGTAACAGTTTATTTTTGTTTTTATTGCTAACAAATCCTAACTTCTTCCTGAATTTGTCATCATTTTATAGTCAAGAAAAACAAAATTTAAGTAGAAGTTTGGCAGAAAAAAACAGTTTGAAAACTTTTTTATGCATAGAAAAAAGAAAAGCAATTCGATTAAATTGTAAAATTTAGATCAGTATCAGTAGGGTTTAGAGTGTCTGCTTTTTGTAGAATTTTGAACAGAAAATACAAAGTCGATAAAAGAAAAGTGGAAGAGATTTTAACGGTTTTTATAACTGCTTTATATAAAGGCAATGGACAACTTTAAAAATAATAGCGTTTGATACAAAAGTTTCAGATAAAGTTGTTAAGAACCATCTAACTTTTGTTGTTTATATAATTAAGGACTGGCTATAAATAAACAATCTTTAGAACTTTTTTTTCTACAAAACACCAGTCTTAATCGTTTCTATTTGTTAAACAGCTTTTAAAATTTGAAAAAAAAGAGAAAAAAAATAGCAAAAAAGCAAAAGCAATAACCTTGCAATACTCAAAATCTTGATAAGTAAAAGTTGATACGCTGTCAAAATAGTTGTACATGTACGGTAAGCAGATGCAGACTGTTAGCATACTCATTAAGCTGAGAATGCTGGCCATTGAAATTACCCATTTGTATGCATTTTCTCGACGTCCATCAAGAGTTTCGTCGTCAGTTTCTCGAATCCACGGTGTTTTCATCATCACTGTGTCTTTCTTTGGTTTCATTTCTGTAATCCTCTTCTGTCAAATCTTCTCCTGTGACGCTTTTTCTTTACAAAATACAGCTAAAAATTTAGGAAGCAAAGATAAACTGGTATACGCTTAATGTGGGTTATAAATATTCATAGTTTTGCTGTTAGACAGACTAAGAAGATATATCAAATAAAAAATGCTCTTATCAAATTTTATCGTTTCTTACAAAGGTGACTAAGTAATCTTTTTTTCTAACCCGAAAAAAGACTAATATTCAAAAAAAGTGTCGCTAAAGTGGCTGAACAGCTAACAATAATTAGAGTAAATAACATCAGTAAGAATGTTCAATATTTACGTTCTTCTAATTTTTAAATTCTTTTAACAACAAAAACCATTGATATTTTGGTAACTGTTTCAGTGCTCAAATGTTTCAGATAATCTCAAGCAGTTAAAAGAGCACAAGGAACTAATATTGTATAATTTGCAGTTTATAAAAGTGCAGAAAATTTGCTTTTTACCATCTCATTCATTTACCGTAACAATTTCAATTTGAATAAAAAGCAGATTGACCTTTTTAATGAACTTATTTGTACTAACTAAGAGTATTGTAATAGAAGAAATTATTATATAGCTGCAACCAAAACTCATTTCATTTTGTTTTTCAGCTAAAATCTTATAAATTATTTAAAATTATCTAACTGGTGTCTAAAAAGCGATACAAACAACTGATAGATACCAAGTCAATTGCAGTAAACGGAAGAGATATACGAATTCACATTATAGTAACAGTTAATTATCACCGATAAACATTTGTGTCAAATAGCAAAAGTTTTTTTCTGCTTTTGAAGGTAACCCAAAATGCTGATAAAACTTAATTAGACATAAAAAAAAATTTGCTAGACAACAGCCACAAATCTGTAATGTTGGAAGATCACTGACGTTCAGACAGAGAATACACGTTGTTCATCAAAAATGATTTTGGTACTAATAATAGCCGGTCTAATTTTCTCTATGA